TTACAGTCTCTCTACCAATCAATCAATCAATCAATCAATCCACAAAAAGTTATTAAGCACCTACTACGTGCCAGACAGTAGGAAGTAAATGAGTGTCACTGCAGGAGAGGGCGGGCCACCCTCTACAGGGATCAATCAGGCCGTTGGAAGCACAGCCTTGAAATAAAGCCTTGCCCTTTAAGGAATCTCCCTGCTCTACTAGCCCTAATCAGCCTGAGTGCCCAGGAGCCCCCTCTCACTCTACATTCCGGCCAGACCTTTCCAGCTGTCCTCAGGCTGCCCTCTCGAAGGTGATTCACTCCCTCTTTATCTCTGTTCATCACTTGAGGGGGCACCTCCAATGGCTGGTTTTTACCCATCCCCCTAGCTTGGCCTTCGACCTCTGGGTCTCAGTTTCCTCATCTGTAAAATGAGGGAATTTGATTCTGTGGCCACTGGGGTCCTTTCCAGCTCCAAGTCTAGGATCCTATGGGACAAGGGAAATAGAGCTGGGCTTACAGTTATGAAGATCTGGATTCAGATCTTACCTCTGACACTCATTGTAACCTTGATCTTCTCTCTGAGCCTCAGTTTCCTCATCTGGAAGATGAGGGGAGTTGCATATGCACATTTACTATAGCAAAGAACTGGAATCTAAGGGAGTACCCACCGATTGGAGACCAGCTGAATAAATCATGAAACATGAGTGGAGTGGAATGTACTGTACCCTAAGAAATTATACAAGGGATGGACTTAGAAACACTGGAGAAGACTTGAATGAACAGACACAGAGTGAAATGAGCAGGAACAGGAGAACAATTCATACAATATTATGATAATGTAAAGGGAAAGAACTTTGAAAGACTTAAAAAGCGTTAGCCAGTCATGACTAGAAGGCTAATGGGCAAGCCCACCTCCCATTGGGGTCAGAAGAGTGATGGATTAGCAGGGAGAATGACACACCCACCCTCAGATGTGGCCAATGTGGGGATTTGCTTTGACTGTGCTCATTTGTTATGAGGGAGAGCTTTGGGTTGGGGGAGAGTTGACAGGAAGCAGGAGGGGGCATTAATAGCGATAAACCCACCCCCACCCCAGAAAAAAAAAGAAAGAACAGCAATGAAATATTAAAAAAAATACACAGAAGAGAGACAGAGATAATAACAGCAAAAATAGCCAACATAATACAACATTGTCAGGTTTGCAAAGTAGTTTTGGAACTAGCACGCTAAATACTTTTTAAAAGTCCAGCTGGACCTAATACAGATTCATGATGTTACAAGTAAACCTGTTTTTACTACTCTTCTTTGTATAAAGAAATGTTCAGGCTTGTTGATGCCTGTCAAGCCCAGAAAAATAAGAATTTTGTTTCTTTTTTTTTGGGTGAGGCAGTTGGGGTCAAGTGACTTGCCCAGAGTCACACAGCTAGCGAGTGTTATGTATCTGAGGCTGGATTTGAACTCAGGTCTCTCCTGACTCCAGAGCAGGTGCTCTATCCACTGCACCACCTGGCTGCCCCCAAGAAAAAAACTTTTAATCTTAAAAGAGACTGGACCCAACAGCCTGAGGTTCCTGTTAGCTCTAAATCTAGGGTCTTATAATTACTAGCAAATGACTTCATTGCTGAGACTGGGTCGGCTTCTATAAAAGGAGAGGGTTGGAATGAAATCCCTTCTGGGTCCATTCTAGGATTCTGTGATCCTTTCCATCACCTTCCTCATCAACCTCAAGAGCGCGGTTGGGTCCACAGCCCCCTCTGCAGTTACCCAGAAAATGGCACTAAGATCTGGTAGTACACCACTCCAGGAGTGGCTGTGAGGCTTTAATAACATCTGTAAAGCGCTCAGCAAACCTTCAAGAACAACTGAAATGCCAGCTGTGACAATGAAGGTGATTATATGCTCAGAGACAAAAACATGAAACTATTCGGCTGGGAGGTGCATAAAGCAGAGTCCTGCCTGACCACCAACTACATCGCAAGGCCCCCAGCACATCTTCCTCATCAGACCTCCCAAACTCTTGATCTCTTTAGCTTCCTAGGAACAGAGCACAACTCCCCCACGTTCCCCCGGAGCCAGACATCCTAGGTGCCATGTTTTACAGATCCGGTGGTGCCTCTGACCCTCCCCCAAACCGCCTGTCCCCAGCTGCCTTTGGCGTGATGTTTCAATGCATATGCTGCCGTGACCGGACAACCTGTCGAGGGCAGTATCACAGCCCGGCAACTTGGAAGGAAGCTCTGAGACCATCTGTTCTTCTGCCTCTCCATCCCTAGCACTTAGCCCTTAGCCCGGCACTAAGTGCTTAGTAAATGCCTAGTAAACGTAGGGATGAATTTTCCTCTAGGTCTGCATTGGACTGGAGTGCCCTGGAGGTCACTTCCAAGTCTGATTTTGTATTGTGGCCCTGGACGCACTCTGTATTCCATCATGCATGGTCTTCTTGCTAACACCCAAACACGCCATTCCAACCCGGGCCTACCTTTACACACCTGGGCTGCACTCTCCCTCACTTTTACTTCCGGAAATGCTTAGTTTCAATCAAGGTTGAAATCTTCAGTTTCCCCACCCCACCCCCTGCCAAAAACCAAACAAATAAACGTTGTATTTGCTGTAGACAGCGGAGTTCTGTTGTTGAGTCCTTTCGGGGAGGGACTGACGCGGTCCCTTTGGAACCCACCATTGCCGTCCAGTAAATTACCAATTGGGAGATAGCCTGGGTCAGCACAGGCAACAGTGGATTTACAGACATAGGCTTTGAATCTCAGCTCCGCCTCTGTGTAAGGCCTCCATGACACTGGGCATAATTTTTTTTTTTTTTTTTTTGGTATTGACTTATCTGTTTACATGTCACATTGAATGTCGGCTCCCTAAAGGCAGGTTCCATTTTCATTTTCATCTTTGCTCCCCACAGTGTTCATTGAATGTGTGTAGAATGAATAAAGGAAAACAGTTAAGAAAAACCAGCAGGGATCACGTCTGTTATCGTACGAACCGTTCTAGGCCCCAGTTTCCCTTATGAGGGTGATAGGCTTCATTGTCCATTCTCCAGCACCATGATAAGTTGTTATAATTATTCAGATTTCTTGCTTTTAATGCTTTTCATTTACCATAGTAACCATATACATTGTTCAGCTGGTTCTGTTTAATTTGCTCTGCATCGGTTTCTGTCAATCTTCCCATGTTTCTCTGAATTTCTCATCTTCCTCATTTCTTACTTTACAAGCACATTCCATTATATTTACGTACTGTAGTATAGTTGGCCATTCCTCGACCCTGCTTTCTTCATTAGGCATCAGAAGACTTCCTATTTCTCATGGCACAGTTACACTCCACAACATTAGCATACTATCATCTGCTTGGCCAGTCTGCAATTGTTAGGCAAATATTGTTTCCAGCTTCTTATCACAAATAATGCTCCTATGAACATTTCTGCACCTATAGATCTTTTCTATCAAATAATTTGTTGGATATTATTCTAGTACTACAATTTCTGGGCCAGAATATAAAGAATTTAGTCATTAATTTTTTTTTTTTGATATGACTCCAATGTTTTCCAGAATGAACAAACTCATAGCTCTATTGGTAGCAAATCAACATACCTGTCAGCCCCTCCATTAATAAGTCTTCCCATCGTTTAAAATCTCAAGTAGTTTGGTGGGCATGAAGTAATGACTTATTCTAATTTGCATTTCTCTGATTATTATTTGGAACATTTATCTTTTGGGTACTATAGTTTGTATTTCTAAAAACCTTATATCCTTTGATCAGCCATATTTTGTGGAATGGCTCTTATTCATTTTAGAAAATCAATGCCCTGTAGGTTTTGGATTGTCAGACCTTTAACAGCTATTTAGTTGAGAGATTTTCCCCTTCCCCGCTCTAGCTGCACTGATTCGTGCAAAACTGTTTTTATATAATGAAAATTTTCTTTCTTTTTTTTTTTTTTGACCTCTTCTATCCCACCTGGTTATGAATTTTCACCCTGAATCCATTGCTGTCAGCAATATAATCTTGGATTCTTCCCGTTTTTGTGTTTAGATCATATATCCATTTGAATTTTTCAGAAGGTAGTCCTAATCTCCTCTCTTCCCAACTCAGATACAAATTATCTTTACACTTAAAAATATAAATAAATAAAACTGACTTGACGCCAACTTTAGTTTAACTTGACGTGATTCTCTATTACCCTTTGGTTAAATACCTGCCCTCTTCCTTTTTATCCCAACCCTCTCCTCCACTTATCTTACTATGTTCCAGCACTATAATCCTTTTTGTTTTCCCTTGCCTGGTTCAGATATGGGTGAGGTTCCCAAGTTTCTCCATCCCACCCCCATCACCCATGGGACCCTAGTTATAAGAAAACAAAGTTAATCTTTCCATTCCCTGTCACCTCCAGGCTATTTAAGACATTCCAGTTCACAGCTTTGTTTCTATGACCTTTAAACGAAGTGGAAGTGGAAAGGGGCCCTTTTCACAATATAAGTACTAGATTTTGTACTGCAAGTACATAAGGGTCAGTAAGGTAAGTATCTGAGTCGTTGAGTTATTCAAATTTACCTTAATTTTCTTTTGACCACCACCTCTTAGTTCCGAAGCAAGTTTAGAAATCCAAGAAGCAGTAGTCAATGAACTTTAGAAAATTCAGAGATGAATTTCCTATTTCACCCAAGATTCATTCGGTGCTTTTCTATGGGCCAAAGATCACACCCTGACTGAAAAAGTCAAAGACCAAAGGAGAATGCTGAACGTGAATGATTGCATAGCGAGTCTAAGAAGTCTGGTCTAGAAAACGAGCAGGAGAGCTTTCGTGGTCTGGGGGAACAGAGACCACACACCAAATGCAGGTCTAGAGCAATGCATGTTTTCTCACCGAGCTCCGAGCACGCAAACCTGTCATCCCCCTCACTCATCAATGGTAGACAGCTGCTGGGCGTCCTCCCTGGGATGAAATTCATTGCACCAAACGACTCCCACAACCCAAACCACCAGCAGTGGCACCAATCCTGCTCCACACTTGAGTACATTAAATTGGCATTTTTATTTTTTTCTAAAGTGTGCTTTTTTTCCTCCATTTGAGCTGATGTTTCAGCATCAGGCCAGAATCCCCACCTCCCACTTTTGAAAAAACAAAACCTTCCAACTAGGTGTGAATCACCTGCTGTTGCTTTGTAACAAATGTCAACAAAGGAAAAAAAAAGGAAAAAAATGTTGAAATGTGTTCGAGTCAAAACCTGTACAAAAAAACCTAAAATACAACCTGAAACAGTTCGAATTCCGAAATGCCAGTCAACTCCATTCCCTTGGCCAGAATGCCACCATCAAAGGGCTCTGGGCCAACTGCCAAGTGAGGAGAAGCGAGGGCTGGGCACAGCAGCAAATCCTCCAGATGGGGGCCCCAGCACCACGCTCCCACCAAAGATGGAATCACATGGGATTTGAGGGTCTCGGGAGGGGAGGCATCTACAGCCTGCCCCGGGGAGCGAGCAGCGTGGCCCTGCACTGGACAAAGGAGGTCTGAGAAGTTAGAGGCAGCAGGGTGGCCTAAAGGGAGCGTGTCACCCGGACAGGCAGCCTCTGCCAGCCAGCACCACACCGAGCAAAGACACACAGCACCGTTCGGGGGGGGCTCAGGCATCAGCTCAGCCGGTTCTTTCCAACCGGTGAGAAACGTGAGCTAGGCTTAGGAGGCAAGAAACCCGTGGGTTTGGTAAACACAGCCCAGGACGTCCCTCTGCCGCTCAAGTCGGAGCTGCCGACTGGTGACGAGGCAGGAAGAAGGCTCCTGGCTTGCTGATGCCTGGCTGGAGGCGCCCCATGGAGGGACGTGTGCCTGCGGGGCGTCTGGTGTGGGAAGGAGGGATGTGTGGTCTCGCCCGGAGAAGGGCCTCCTCTCTCTGGAGGAGTAACACCTGTGGGCCACAGTTTCCTCTGACCTAGGGTCAGTCTGACAGATGGTCACCACTGGACAGTGCAGATACAGGCCAGGCGGGAGAGGAGTCTGGGGGAGGCAGGGCAGTGTCTGACCCTACGAGATGGCCTCCCTGGAGCCCCTGAGTCTGAAGGGGACGAGTGGAAGTGAGAGCGTGGCTTAGCAAGAACCGTACCAAGTGGGTGAGGGGAGACCTGGGACGGCCTAGTGGGCAGCTCCGGAGCCCACTGAGAGCCAAAGGAGAGGGACACGGCCCCTGCTGTCCCCTTCCCCGGCCCGGTGAGCGCCGGCCGCCCCGGCCGGCCCTAGTGGCGGCTGGAGACCAGCCCTTTGACTTTGGACATCTTCTTGGTGGGCTGCCGCTGCTCGGCGTGCGGGGGGCACTCCCGCTCGGCCAGCTGCTGCTCGATCTCCTGGGCTGAGGACGAAGCCGTGGCCTTCAGGGTCTTCTTGATGTTTGTCACCTGGGGAGACATGAGAGGCGACCGGCGCCTGTCCTTGTCACGGATGCCCTGCAGGGGTCTGGCCGCATTAGCGCCTTGTGCGACTACCCCCCGCCCCCGGCCATCTTTAGAACCCTGCCTGCGGAACCACCACAACTGGGGAACAGAGGCAGATTAAGTAACAAGTGAGGGCCGTAACAGAAGGGCCTGACTCCCTCTTAGCTGAAAAGAAGGCGCAGGTGAGGCGAAGGCTGGAGGTCAGAATGGAGCCAAGGCAAGGTGACGGGGCAGGGGACGCCTCCGATCATCTCGAGGTGTGTGATGGACGCTCGGGCCTTAAAGCAAACCCGAGAGAGCAGCACCATGACAGCCACACAGGCCGCCCACAGCAGCTCTCTACCAGGGAAGGCTCCCTTTCATCAGAGGGATTCTAATGCTGCCCCCGGGATGGAGCAGCTGCCCCCAGGCTGCTCTTTTCCAAGCACCGACCAACTCACTCGCATTTCGGACAAGCCAGAGGATGCTCTTAAGCTGCGTGTTCTCAACTCTTTCTAACGATGTCCAACAGGGCCTCGCACCCAGGAGGAAGCTGGCAAATGCTGGCTAAGGTGAGCTGAATCCCATGCCAACCTTTGACGGGCAGCAGCACAGCAGGCGACCAGGACACCCAGAGCCCAAGTCCTCGCGCTGGAAGGACCGGCTGCAGACGCCACCAGCTGTCTGCCCCTTCTTTCTCTGCCCGCTCACTCAAACTCTACAGATGGTCTTTCCCCACTGGCCTGGCGTCTGCCCCAATCAAAGATGCTAAATGCCTGGTCCTTACACTGATCCCCCAGGACAACTCGTCCATCCAGGACAAGGCCCTTTACCCCTGCCCTCTGCCAGGACAAAGCTGCACCTCGTCTCCCGGAGGTCACCTTTGAACACCTCGGAGACCTTGGCAGTCTTGTCAAGAGCTTCTTCGACTCCTAAGCAGTCGTGACATCCCTTGAATTTACGTGTCTACTGGTCCACAAAGATCTAAAAAAATCAGCCAGGTGCGTCTCTCTCCTGAAAACCGCTCACCGGCCTTCCCACAAAAGGTCATTTCTCAGTGACTCTACCATGTTATGGACGGTGAACTTGGCTGGTCAGAATCACAGGCCATCAGAGCTGGACCGCCTCCAGAGGCCATCTAGTGCAGCCCGTCCCTGAATGGAGATCTCCCAGGCCTCTTTTAAAGCCTCCAGGGTGGGCAGAGGCATGTGCTCCTCCCACACAGCCCTGCCGTGCTTGACAAGTCATCGGCACTCCTCAACAACACAGGACGCTCACTGTTCCCGGCACAATTTTCAGTCCTCTCCCCACCCTGGACATTGTCAGAGCCGCACTGCAACTCCCCAAATGGGGCCTCAGTGGGGCAGGGGTCTGCAGCAGACCGACCACTTCCTTCATCCTGGACACGAGGCATGCACTGACGCCCCCAGAGGCAGGCTGGGCCGCTGGACTCTCCCCCCCCATGGTGCGTATGCAGTCCACTTAAACCCCCTGACTGAGTCACAACGCCTCCTCCACCTTTACTTGGGTCAAAAAAACAACTGTGAAAGTGCCGGTCTAGTCAATGATTCGTCTAAAATCTCTTCTTTCTCAGATTCAGCCCAATTGTTCTGAGAAACTGAAGTGTTTCGTGTCATCTATCCCAGTTTGAGTCACTGATAAAAGTGAAAGCGCTCTCTGAGGAGGTGCCAATTCTTTCCAAATATCACACGTACAAAGTTCCTCTGCCCTCTAGCATCATCTCACGGGACAATGAGGGCAGGCTTGAACGATTTCAAGAGCTGGCATGTGGGCAGGGGGCACAGGAGGGCTGTGAGCACCCTCTGGTGCAGGAGAGAGAGGAGCAGGCAAGGAGTCAGAGGGCCTGGGTTCAGATCATGCTCCCCACCCTGCTACACACACACACACACACACACACACACTCACTCTCTCTCTCTCTCTTCAATTCTTCAAAACTTTCTCCTCCCGAAGCACCATTTCCCTCACACCCAAGGGCTGCATCCCAAGGGCCCAAGAGCACTGACCGGCCTACAGAGGAGTCCCAGCACCTCAGCTGAGCCTTCAAAGACGCCTATACTGATTCCAACTCTGTCCTGTACCTCCCCACCCAAAGCCCTCCACTGCAGACAGACTGACCACTGGCTGCCAGACACACCGTGTGCTTTCCTGACACCGTACCTGTCTCTAGAGAACTACAATGCTGCCGCCCAAATCAGCTTGGGGTGTTCTCACCCCCCTCATTGCTCACTGCCGCAGCTTTGTCTATCACCTGCCGACACCCCAAATACGTGTTAATTAGACTGGGAGCCCCTTGAGGTCAGGGAGCAGGTCAGCCCGGCCTGCCACAGAGCTCCAATCTGGCTCAGCTAGCGCAACGGTCTTTTCTTTGAAATAATAAACGAATCCACCTCACCTGGTTGGGGCCCCTAGCTTTCTGAATCCATCCCCCCCATCAGGGTACAGAGAGCAGCAGCCTCAAGGGAGAATGTCTATGCAAGGGGATTTTTATAGCCCACACAAGAGACGAGTCCCAGAGTCAGAAAGAACAGGTGACTCCTCAGAACCATCTGCTGGACCGCTGCAATCGCCAATTTAAACCTTCCTTCCTTAGCATTTGTGACAACAGATGTGGGCAGGGACAAAGCTTACCTTCACATTAGCCCAGAAAAAAAATAAAAAGGCGTAAAGTAAGTTAGAGTCACTGTCAACAAGACGGCTGATGCCAAGAGGACGCTGAGGCGCCGCCCCAAATGGCCGCGCTCCTCAGGGCGCACCCGGCCAAAGCACGAGGCAGCTCCCCTCCCCGCCATCCCCTGCAGAAGGCGCGCACGCCTGCTCCCATCTCCACGACCGTCTCCCAAGGTCAGGGGCCCTGGCTCAGGCTCCTGCTTCTGCTCCCTGGCGCCCTGGCCCCGACATCTGCCTCGCACCCGGGCCGACCCGCTAGGTCCTGGAAACCCTCGGCTCCCACCTCCCAACAACCTCTGGCCCTTGCCCCCCTACCCTGGGGCCTCTTCCGTCTGAAGACACCAGCCTGCCGCTGCTGCCACCCCCCGCACGACACCAGACAATGTGCTGTGGGAACTCTCCTGAATGTCACCTATGACCTTGAACTTTCACTCACTCATCTTGGCCTTATCCTTGGATGAGTCCAAATGACTGCCGTGGTAATGGACTGCACAAGCTTCTTGGCAGGGTCTGGCAGAACCTGTCACTGGGATGCTCCTGTCCACATCCCACCCCCCCCACACCCATTTTCACTCTGACCTCATCTCCATGTGTAAATGGCAACGGCAGTCCGACCCCCGGGGCCCAAACGAGCCAATGTGGGGCTCCAGCGCCAGCCGCCATCACTCCTCTGATGCCAGAGGCAACCCCACCCCCACCTACCTCGGCCTCCACCTGCTGCTGCGTCCGGCTGAAGTTCTCCTTGTACTGGTTGGCTCTCAGCACCTGCTGCTCGATGCCTAACAGAACGGCTTCACAGCCATCACACCTGCAGAGGGGACAGCCAGGCCCGGGTCACGTCAGCTGGAGACCTGGGGACGCCCGTCCCCATCCACAAAGGTCGCCTGCCCACTTCCCTCGGAGACGGTGAGCCCAAGAGCTTGGCCCCAGAGGAGACAAGCTGGTAGTGGAGGCAGGCCAGGGGGAGCTGGAACACTCTAGCGGGAGGGGATACCGTACCCGACATCAAATGCCATTTTTCTCAAGTATAACCTGTGTGTCAGAGGCTCATTACTTCTTAAACCAAATTAAAACTCCCCATCGTAGACTCTGAGGCTCACTGCCAGCAACGACCAGTAGCCCACTCCATTTCTCGCTGAGCCATGGTTTGGACTGGCTGTCCAGAGAGGAGAACCTAGTGAAGGCCCCTCCTCAAAGGCCCTGCAGACCTGGTCTTCCCAGCCCTCTCTCCATGATAATGGGCTGCCTTCCTCTTTCTAAACCTTGCTAGCATCAATCTGGTCCAGCACCTAGCCTGGGGCCTGGCACCTCATCAGCATTAAATGCTTGTGGCTTAACTCACGAGCATCACATCACACACGGGAATGCTTTAACTGCATGTTGGTGTATGTGTAATACAGAAATAATAGGGGAAAACACATATAAAAATAAAAGCTATCTATACGTCTACGTGTGTACATAGGCATACCCACTCACCCACGTGTCATTTATGTGATTTCCTTAATGTTGTTGTCTTGGATACTTCTCTCTCCTAGAGAGTTGGAGCTGGTTAGATACCGTTCAAATTCAAATTGAAGGGGGCTCCAAAAAATCCACTCTCTGTGCTGGACAGTGGCCACCTCACGATCTCCCTTTTCTATGTGTGTGGGCATCCTGGCCCAGCCACCAGATACTCGGGTCTTTGTGCAGCCTCCGGAGCACCAGGTAACAGCGTGGCCCGTGGCAGAAGCCCCATTTTCCCACTGAAACCGTCCTTCAGAAACTTTCCTGAGCTGTGCCATGCCCCGGGAGGTGGGTCCAGAAATTGGCCTCACTATTTTCCAGGCGTGTAAAGTGGGCCCAGCACATGCCCAGCACTACTCCCTGACTGTCCATCCTGGAGCCCCGAGGACACGGGCTTTAGGCTAGAGCAGCACTGAGGAGAAGAAAGGCCAAAGCAAAACCTTCCTATGACCCCTGGCTTTGGCTACAAAAGCCAGGAGCCCAAAAAGCCCGAGAGGCCAGAAGACCTGGGGCTGAGGGGTGAAGACCCTGGTCCCACTAGCGGGCATCCCTGCCAGGAGGGAAAGGCTGCCCTCCCTGCCCCCCGCTGGCCCTGTGCACAACCCCGTCTCACCACTCCTGCAAGGTCTTGACGAGGGTGTTGATGTCCTTCTTTTGAATGTCTCGGCCGATGCAGAAATCCACCTCGAGAAGCTGGTTGCGCTGGTCCAGCTTGCCCTGGATGATGTCCGTGTAGACGGCTTCGATGATGAGATCTTCCAGCTCCCGAAGATTGCGCACCTCGAGGTCCTTCAGCAGCACCGAGTAGGGGATACACTGCCAATAAAGCCACACCACATTTTAGGAACCCAGCGCCCGGTGGGGCCCAGGAGGCACAGCCGAGAGCCAGGACTTCACAGGGATACTACCCAGGGCATTTCAGGGGCACGTTGGCCGGTCAACAGGCTAATGGTGCCGTGGGTAAGAAGAGAAGGAGAAATGATCTCCGTCCTACCAGTGAGAATCAAACCAGAGCATAAACCTTTGCCTCTGGAGTCTCCTACCCCTTTGACCTAGAGAGGCGGTAGAGTATCGTGAAGAAGGCACTGGCCTTGGAGTCAAAAGGCCTGGGCCTCAGATACTGACTGGGCAAGTCCCTTAACCTCTCTGTGCCTCAGTTTCCTCGTCTGAAAAATGAGAGGGTTGGACTTGTTGGCTCCTAATGGCCCTCCCAGATCCCTTGCCCCTAGTTTGGCCATCCTGGGGCAGGTCCTTACATCCCCCCATAACTTCTCTCTGCAAACAGTAGAGGGGAGAGGCCAGAACCCACAGAACCATCAGAGCTTTGGGAAGCAGGTGAGCTCTGCATCCAATCTGACCACAAGCACAGGCAAGAAGGGAGGCCTTGGCAGCAGTGGGTCCACGGGAGGGACCCCGGACACCTCCTCCAGGCCTTCCCCAAGTGCTTCATCAAGGCAGGAGCCTGGCGGAGGCTTCCCCCCGCCTCTCCCCTCCTCTGCCCCAGGAGGCACTGGCCTCAGTGGCTTCTCAGGTCCCTCCCAGGGCCAAGGCCGAGAACCTGAGCCATGTCTTCTGCGTTTGGCCTTTTACACCTCGTGCAGGAGCACCTGGGAAATGGGGGTGGGAGAGAGGATGGAATCAGAGACCCCAGAGGTCAGGACAAAGGGCCGACATCCAGCAAGAGCAGAGGAGCCTCTCGTGACACGTGGCTGATAAGCTCACAGGCATCTCGGCTATAACAAGAAAGACGATGACCGCAGGGCACAGGGTGGCTCGGTGGTTCCACAGAGCACAAAGTCAGGAGAATCTGAGGTCAAATCCAGCCTCCAACACTGACGAGCTGGGTGACCCTGGGCAAGTCACCTCACCTCCCTGTTTGCCTCAGTTTCCTCATCTATAAAATGAATGGCAAACCCCTCCAGGAGCTTTGCTAAAAAAAAAAAAAAAACCCAAACGGGGTCACAGAGAGTTAGACATGACTGAAAAATAACCAAACAACACCAGGAATGAGGGAATGTGAGCACACATTTGGGGCCAGCTCCTTTAAGAGGAGCTCCACCAGCAGGGCCAGGCTTAGTCAAGGGAAGATGGAGTGGACTCAAAAAATTATGACAGGTATTGAGACGGCAATCAAAGAAAGAAACCGAGATGCTCTGCTGAGAGCTCGGGCAAGGAGAGGAAAAGTGAACAGTCAGCTACTCTGGGAGGGCGGAAGTTGGGACAGGTCACTGCTGGGAGTAGGCAGAGAGAGAGGAACGGGGGAGGGAAGGAGGGGAGGGAGGAAGGAAGAAAGGAGGGAAGGAAGGGACAGAGGGAGGGAGGAGAGAATGGGAGAGAGATAGGGACACCACATGGAGAGCAACTGCAGCTGTGACCCACCCCTCGACCCTGGGGGCTGGGCCGAGGCAGCCAGGGGCCACGGACGGCTGCCCAGCTGCTGGCTGCAGAGGTCAGCGAGCCAGCCTCCCGGAGGCAGGGAGAAATCCTCCGACAGCTTCTCGCAGGACCCTGGGCGCAGTCTACCGTGACCGCTTTTCATGAAGCCTCAGGCCTGTACCTTCATTCTGGCCGCCAAGCTGACGATGGTCAAGTGCTTCAGCTTGTTTTTCTGGGCGGGGGTGAGTTCCGGCAGGCTCTCCTTGTTGGCTGCTCAGGCCCCAGCCCCAAAACAAAAGAGAGAACACAAGTGAGACGGCTTCCAACCGAACCACGCCAGGGATTCTGCTGTCTCTGCATGGGGTCCATTCTGGCTGCTTTTAATTTCTTCTTCTTAAAAACAATAGTAACAAATAATCTAGCCAAACAGTAAGTCTCCAAATAAAATCTTAAAATTAAAACTATTTACAAGACAGTATGCCAAGTACTGGGGATAGAGCCAGGAAGGTCTGGGTTCAAGACCAGCCGCTGACACATATTGGTTGTGTGACCCTCTGTAAGTCAGGTGCCTGTTGGTGCCAAAAACTAGAAGTCCACTATGGACAAGTCACCAATCTGCATCGGTGGTAACCCTATGCACGTATATACATACACACATGCACACGCATGTACACATGTGCGCGCACACACACATATCCCTTTTTAAAAACCAGTTCAGAACAACGAGCACGGGGAGCCACACCCCCTCGCCAACCCGTCCTGGGCCTGCATGAGCACAGTCCGGCCTCCTCTGAACCTCTGAGGCACCAGAATATGTCGTGACAGTGAGAGCGCCCAGTTCATTCGGCCAGCTTGCCCTCCCTGGGCCCACAGACAACTTCTGGGGCGGCTCAGGGGGAGCGCTGACTTTCTCTGGGCCTCCAGGGCATCATCTCAGCCCTGGGATCCCCGGGGCCTCTGGCTCATTCTCACCTAACAGAATCGCACCAAATTACTCTGGCTTTGCTCAACAACTGACAGCACCACTAACCACAATGGAGCACCAACTTTCCTTTGCTGTGAATTTTATAAACTCAATTCTGTGTACGTGGGGTCTCCTCTGATAGATGGATATTTTCTCTTTGTATCCCCAGCGCCTCATACAGGGCTGGGCATACAGTAGGTGCTTAATAAATACTTGAGTGACACTTGGTATTTCTCTCTGGGAAAGATCACGAGAATGACCATAACCCCTATTCAGCCGTTTGGGAACCGAGGCAGGCACAGGAAGGCAGCAGCAGAGCTGAGAAGTCCCCGCCCCCAATCCTGTGGATGTGCCGACCTCAGGCCTCCCCCTCCCGCTCTCCCCGCC